GCCAAAGAAGGATCTCATGTTGGTGGATACTGATCCATTTCCCAGCATGGTAGGAATCAACATGGTTAACCCGGACCTCTCCAAAATTGAGCTGCCCTGTTTCAAGCTAGTGTTGGATACAACTCTGCCTCAAAGGAGCCCTAATGTGGTTTTGGAATAAGGGAGCTCGTCAGGTACAAAGCAGGCCAATCTGGCTGCAATGATGAGTGATGAAATTGAGAAGCTAGGTGCTCAGTGCAAGAAGATTCTCAAGCTCGACGAAGAGAATTCGAGGCCATCAGCTCATCAAAGAATTGGTCTTCCTAATAGGTCAAGGTACACGCTGAGTGAAGCAGCCAGCTTGGGGGCAACCAAAGGCAATGGGTGGCCCATGCCCCTTTTCAAACAAAGAGAATATTCAAGATGCCAAATGTGCCACATGGTGGTTGGAATACGTATGATGCTCGTCGTCATTAACCAGTAGCAGTGACTGAGGTGACAAGGACCCTAATAAGAAGGTTCCTTCCTAAGAATGCCCAAGCACGTCAAGGCCGATTCCCAATAGCTCATGGAAACATAATGTAAGTGACAATGGAGAAGAGAATGTAGTCTACAATCAAATCTTAAGGTGGACAACTCCATGACCTCAGGGCTCAAAGTGAACGTGGCTGACAAAGGCAAGCAGGTCAAAGTTCAGAGTGATGTCAAAGTTTTTGAAGGGGTTGAGGACGACTTCCAAGAAGAAGGAGACGAATACGAGGATGATATGATTGAAGATGATCTTTCCAAATCAAAGTTCAACATGGGTAACAAAGATGACGAGGAGGATGGTTAGGGTCCTGCTATGACCATCCAATTTGGAATTTTGCCACCAGCCGTGGTTACCAACTACATACTACCTATGGTCTTTCAATTCAACAAAAAAGATCGTGATGGACATGTAGAGAGTGAAGACGTGGACGAAGCAAGTGACAAAGATGGATCAGTTGCTGAGTTGACTGAGGCATTTGCTTGTCTCGAAGCTAGTGATGAGCCACAGACTGTTATGATGGCTCGTTTGGGAAGCATGATAGATTTGGCAGTTGAGGCGGCAAGACAAGGCAAAAGTTCCCAACAAAATTTGAAGGAACTCCATGAGGCTGGCAACTAGAACGTTGGCTTGCTTGCAGAGGATGATGGTCGATACCCGTTCTATGTATTGTATTAGGGTTTTGATGCAACTTCATCGTTAGCCATCAAGAATCCTTCATGGGGATCCCAATTTAATAATGAGCAAGAAGGTTCACTGGAAAATGATGAAAGCACACCAGAATAGGAGGCCGTCATGCATGTAGCAACCTCAAAGAGAAAACAAGTTATGAAAGAAACTACAAGTGACGAGTCTAGCCACTTGGTAGTGTTCAAATATCCTGTGGTGAGTATGCTAAGGCATTTGAGACCCCTTTACATCAAGGCTATACTTAATGGGGTGCCCATGTCAAGAATCTTGGTTGACAACAGAGTTGTTGTCAACGTGATGCCAACTCGTATGTTGAGGAAACTTGTGAAGAGCATGAATGACTTGATTCATACTAAGATCTTCATGACAAGTTTCAATGGAGGCTCAACATCGGAAAGAGGGATACTACCAATGTTAGTTGGAGTTGGTAGTCAAGAGAAAATGCAAGCCTTCTTTGTGGTTGATGGGACCATAAACTACAATGCCTTGTTGGGAAGAGATTAGATCCATGCCAACAAGTGTGTCCCATCCTCACTCCATCAGTGTTTGATGTTTTGGAATGAAGAAGGAGCACAACAACAAAAATATGTCTGATATGACAAAAGTAAGTATTTGTCATAACAGCCACGTTTAATGTGAAACAGTTTTATCGTCGCAATATAATGTCGCATTAGCTTCATATTATGACAAAAGTTATGTTGTAACAATTATTTTATCACATTACATTCATATTATGAAAAAAAATTTGTTGTCACAATTATTTTGTCATATAATTTCGTGGTAAAGTGTTAGCGTACATAAAAGATTGTGACGAAAATGTTTGTCGGAAAAATGATAGTCATATAAAGTTGAGTCAAAGTTTAATATGACAAATGGTTTTGTCATAATAGGTTTTGGTACGAATGAAAAGCGGTTAATATGACGCAATATTAATTATCACAACTTAGTTTGTCACAACATCAGTACTTTTAAATGTTACGACAAATAAGTTTGTCACATGACTATAAAATATGCTAACTATTTCGATGGAGGGAAAATTCCCACGATATGTTTTCATAACTCAAAGGAAATAAGTTCCTTTTCATATTCCCATAAAAAACCCCCCAATCCCCTTTCACGACTCCTACTCTCCCTAGACCTCGATCAGTTCCCTTTCTCTGCCATTCACAGAAAAAACCCTAATATACACCACCATTCCTAGGAAAATTCCTCCAACCCCTTTATTTTCCATTCTCGTGGTTGAATCCGGCGACCAGAAGAACACTCCATCGAGGTACGACTTCGATTTTCGATCTTGCATGTCGTCTTCTTTTATTTTGAATTCTCGGGTCGAAGATGCTCTCGTTTGGTAAATCCTTTCTGATTGCTGTCGAAGAATCTCGTCCTCTACCTTATGATCAATCGTGTATTCTTGTACTCAGTCTCCTCTTAATGATGATGATTATGACTGATTATCGTCGTTTTTGGAGTTTGTTGTTCCATGTCAATGGTGGGATGTTCAAGTGCGAATACCTTTGATTTATGGAGTCTCTGTCATTACTTGAGTCTGTTTGATTTCTATATTTCTGAATTCTCTTTCATTACTTTGATGTCTATTAAGAGGCTCATGGATCTGAGTTCATCCTTCGTTTCAACCGAAATAGGTTTTAGATTAATGGCCTTGAATTCATTAGTTGGTTCCTTAATGAAGATTATGTTAGTTTCTGTTAAATTTTGACCCCTGTTTGCTTAGCTCGATTCTCATGAATTGTTCTTATTAAGTGTTTAACATTCACAGTTCATCCTTTATTTTAACCGAAGTCTAGGTTTCATATTGATGGCTTTCAATTGACCATATGGTGTTAATGCTTTTTGCAGAGACATGTCTTTTGAAGCTGGACTAATCATGGCGGTTGGTCGAAAAGGCTACAAGTCAAGGTTAGTTTAATTTTATGCACTCACCATGGACAAACAATTGATGAAATTGAAAGACAAATTTTGTTCATAATATGTTAAATGGGGTTAGTAACTTTTTGCAATTGGCCACTAATTCTGCTGATGCACTTGGTAGAATTAGATGCCCTTGCAAAAAGTGCAATAATACTTGCTTCAAAAAGATCCAAGCTGTGAAAAATGATGTTCTCTTGTATGGATTCCTTCCTGATTATACAGTTTGGCTACATCATGGTGAGAATTTTGAAGTTGGACAGAGTAGTAATGCTGGCATTAATCAGGATACTCATGTCGACAATTCTGCTAATGATATTGAACCTGGGTTGCATGAGATGTTAAATGATATCCATAGAGTTGGAGGGGATATGGAGTGTGGTTTTGAGGGGACTGACATTGTTTGTGATGAAGGCAGGGACAGGGGGGACAAAGTGGACATATTAGGTAGATTACTTAGTGATGCTCGAGAGCCTTTATTTCCTGGGTGCTCTAAGTATTCTAAACTATATTTTCTAGTTAAAATGCTTAACTATAAAGTACTCACTAATTTTACCAACAAACTTTTTAACCTAAACTTGGAATTGTTCAGGGATGCTTTGCCAGTTGGTGAGACTCTTTCGTATTCCTATTATGATGTTAAGAAGTATATGAAAGATCTAGGGTTTGGTTATAACATTATAGAAGCCTACCCTAACCACTGTGTCCTATATAGAGGGAGTTATAAGGATGTAGAGACGTGTCCAAAGTGTCGAGAGCCTAGGTATAAGAGTAGCAAAGGGAAAGGGAAGAGGGTGGCCATACATAAGGTTAAGTACTTCCCTTTGAAGGATAGGCTTAAGAGGTTATTTACAAATAAGGAAATTGCTAAGTATATGAGGTGGCACAAGGAGAAGCGTGTTGACAATGAGGTGCTTAGACACCCGGTTGATGTAGAAACATGGAAAAATTTTGACAGTGACTATGTGGCCAGTGGTTCTTAAGTGATGTTTTAATCCCTTTGGCAACATGAGTCTGAATTACATTATGTGGCCAGTGGTTCTAACTCCATATAACTTACTTCCTTGGAGTTGTATGAAAGAGTCCTTTATGTTCTTGACTGTTCTTATACCTGGTAAATCCTCTCCAGGTAATAAGATACATGTCTATATTGAACCAGTAATAGAAGAACTAAATGAATTGTGGAATGTGGGGATTAAAAATTTGGGCAAATACTCTTGTGTAGTCAAAACTTTGACGGTTTTGCCAAATATAGCCACTTTTGGCGAAATACCAAAAATAGCCACTTTCGTCCAATTGTTTGACGGTGTTAGTTAACGTGCTGACTAGACTAACGGACCATCCTACCTGGCAATTTTTGTCCCGTGCATATTTCTGACGTGGATTTATTAAAAAATAAAACAACAACTCCTCTCTCTCATAACCCTCCGCCCTCTTCACCTCCTCTCCTCTCTCTCTCCTAGTCCTTCGTCCTCCTCCGTCCTCACTTCCACTACCAGTAGCCACCATACCTACTGTACCTTCCTACCTCCTCCTCAACCTTCTTTCCCCTTTTCATTTTGACTGCCCGATCTCATCAAAGAGAACCAAATTAAACCCAAACCACATATTCCCCAAAAACAATGAACCCAAATCAACCCGATTTTGCTTGTTGTCAATTACCCCCTTTCGGCCCCCTTGGTCGAATTGAATTTCTAGAAGGGTGAGATGGAGTGGAGAGATGGAGGGATGGATAAGCTAGCTACATTCCGGCCGTTCTTCAGCCGTTGCATTGGCTGGTTAGTGTCAGATTCCAGAACAGGGGTGACGGCGAAATAGATAGAGGCGTTGGTGGAGAGTTTGCTTTCTTCTTCTCTACAACGAACCGATTCTCTTCTCAGACTTCACCACCTTGATCGATTCGGGAAGAGAATAAGACGAATCGGCAGAGAAGTGATACAGAGGGATTTATTCGATTTGATTTTAGGGTTCGATTGTTGTCTAGGTTCGAGATGGGATCAGCAACCTGGGTCGTCTCCTCTATGGAATTGGGAGAACAAAGCAGCAGCATGGAGATTAAGCGTCGATTGTTGTCTCCATCTTTCTTGTGGTGGTCGAAGCGCCAGCGGATGACAACAGATCGGAAGAATACTCGAGAGATTTTCCAGATCTGGCCATCACAAGGCCCAAAATGAATCTCTCGGGAATTGGAGCAGTGAGAGAAGACGAGGGCGATTGCGGATGCATTCCAGCGCAAGTGTGCGACGCCAGTGGAGAAGTTGCAGAAGCTCGCCGATAATCTCTCCACTGGGTATAAACTGATTCCCAATGTTTTTGGCTTTCTTTCTCTGATTTTGTTCTTCTGTGTACGATTGGAGCGAGTGGTGGAACATGAATAAGTAGAAATCTCCATTCCTCCACAAGTCATGACTGCAACTTCAGATGTGAGCATATTTCATTTTGGGAGATTGTTTTGTTTCTGGGTTTCTCTTGCTCCCGAAAAACTGAGGTTGACGGCGAGTTTAACATGAATGGACGGTGGTGAGCGGAAGGCGGGCAGGTTTTTGATTTTTTTTATAACGGATTTTTGTTCAAAAATTAATTAATTGATTTTAAATAAAATCTTACGTGTCATCCACGTGTCACTTGTGGTTGAGTTATTGCTGACGTGGGTTTTGAGGTGGCATCCTAATCAGCAAGACGTTAACTTAACTGATGGAATTTCTAACACCGTTAAAGTTTATGACGGAAATGGCTATATTTGTCATCAAACTTTCAAAATTCTGGCTATTATTGGTATTTCCTCAAAAGTGGCTATTATTGTCACAAACGTCAAAGTTTTGGCTTTACAGATGAATTTGGCCTAAGAATTTTGATGCATACTCTGGCCAATATTTTCAATTGCATGTTGCACTGCTTTGGACAATCAATGATTTCCCAGCATATGGAATGTTGTCTAGATGGTGTACCAAGGGTAAAATGGCTTGTCCAGTATCTGGTAGTGAGACTTGTTCGTTACGTCTAAGACATGGGAAGAAGGAATGTTATATGGGTCATCGTAGGTGGTTGCGAAAAGAACATCCGTGTAGGAGAAGTAGGAAGTTTAATGTTGAGCAAGAAATTAGAGACCCCCCTGCCACTCTGTCTCCTGAAAATGTTTTGAACCAACTAGATGTCGCCCTTCCTAATTCTTCATAGTTGAATCTGAGTCCTGCAAGTAAGAAGAGAAGGTTAAAGAACAAGTTTAATTGGAGGGTTCGAGCTTCCTTTTGGTCTTTACCTTACTGGAAAAATATAGAACTGCGTCATAACTTAGATGTTATGCATATAGAGAAGAATATTAGTGAAAATGTGTTGGGAACACTACTAAATATGGATGGAAAAACTCAAGATAATGATAATGCTCGTAAAGATTTGAAGCTTATGGGCATTAGAAAGGAGTTGCACATAATTTCAGATGGTAATAAGGATGTGATGCCACCTGCTGCATACACATTAAATCTGGCAGATAGGAAGAAAGTGTGTGGATGGCTTAAATTAATTAAATTCCGTGACTCTTATGCTTCAAACATTTCTAGATGTGTTGTTGCTGATGATTCTAAAGTCTCGGGCATGAAAAGTCATGATCATCATATATTCTTACAATGTCTTCTGCCTGTCGTGGCTAATGGTTTTCTGCAACAAAATGTATACACTATACTAGCAGAACTAAGCGGATTTTCAGGGAACTTTGTTCAAAGACAATTAAAAAGTCTTGTGTGAACAAGTTAGGGCAGGACATTATTTTAATCCTTTGCAAACTTGAAATGGTTTACCCACCAAGCTTCTTCGTTGTCATGATACATCTAGCAATTCACCTACCACGTGAAATAGAACTCGGTGGTCCAGTGCAATATAGATGGATGTACCCAATGGAAAGTTAATCAACTTCTTCTCTTTTGTTGTTTTAAACGTGCATAGGTACCTAGGAACTTTGAATGATTTTTTCCGTAACAAAGCATGTCATGGAGGATGCATTGCTGAGGCATGCATAGCAAAGGACTGCTTGGATTTTTGTACTAGGTATTTGCAAGGGGTGGAGACTAGAGCTAATCGTTTAGATAGGAATGATGATGGTATGGCTTTGTAGTCTTCAGCCAAAAAGCTAGACCAATAGGATCGGAGGTGCTTCTCGTCAGAAACTTTCCCCAACACAATTGAGTAAGATTCAATGGTACATCTTGAATAACTGTGAGGAGATAACACCTTTTTTTGTAAGTTTCTTATGCTGTAGGTAACAGTTCAATATGATTAGATCAAGTTAATAGTTAATTTTCGAACTGATAGGGTTATTACTATTTTACAGAATGCATAAACAAGAGTATTTGCAGACAAATCCTAATAGAACAAAAGCAGAAATACAAGAGAATTTCCCTTCTTGGTTTAAAAAACATGTAAGAATCAACTTTGTCCTTACTGAATTGACCTGTCATTTTCTTTGTTTGCATTTTTCATTTAAACATTTTGACTCTTTATTTTTCCTACCTTTATAGGTTTGCAAACTATACCTCAATGGGTCAGTTGGGAAAGAGGACAACTTATATATTTTGGGGTTAGGGGCTGATGAGATAGTAACTAGGTATACTGGTATCATTATGAATGGCGTAAGATACCATACTGTTCAGCGTGAAAAGGGTCATCGTACCCAGAATAGTGCTATTGTGGTTGAGGGGGAGCACAATGCAAAAACAATGGATTTTTATGGAATTATAGTCGATATCATTCGGGTTCAGTATAACTATGGATGTCAAGCGTTCGTGTTTAAATGCAAGTGGTGGGATGTAGGGGATAAAAGAAACGGAGGTGGGACATCATCCCCAGAGTTTTTAGTAATGCTTCCAGTGAATCAGAACACACATCTGATAGTAATGGTGGTAACAGCAACGATGATGACATAATTTGAGATAGCTAGTAAAGGAATTTGGTGTGTAGTTTACTTTTAGTTGTTGATTGTTTGGTGTTTCAGATACGTACTGAAATAGTATTTGTTATTTCTGTCTTATGTACAAAGGATTTTTGGCACATCTACATTTTTCCTAAATCCATATATATATATAAGAATATATGTGGTTGTCTTTTTATGTGTTTGAGGAAGATATGGTTTTATTGCTCTTAACCATGTTTGTAGATTGCAGAAATGGCTCCTGGTAACAAAAAGAAGAATACCAAAGCAAGAGCTGTGAATAATGCTCCACCTCGATTGACAAGATCCAGGGCTGCTGTATCCGAGGCCACTGTTCAAGATAGGACTTCTGGAAGTAACTTTCTAGATTTGCAAGAGACACGAGCAGAAGAAATCCATTCAACAGAGGATGAAGCTTCTTCCAATGCTACAGGTTGTGTTTTTTTCTCTAAGTTGACCATTCATCGTTACCAACAAAGCTGTGTAATACATAATAACTAGTGTTGTTGCATGATGTGTAGAAGGTGCTGACAAGAAGAAGAGCCGTAGAAAGAAGAGGTGAAGAAACGCTTAGAAGAGGGGACCAAAATTGGCGGCATAATCATTGAAGAAGGAGCAAAAGCACCTGTGGGTACCAACGATAAGTTGTGGAAGATTGAGATAGGTGTTATCGTCCGTGTGCTAGCTCCAATTGGAAAATTCTTCTGGAAGGATCCATCTGAAGAAAAGAAGCTGCCACTCTTTGCCAAATTGGAGGTAACCGTTACTCAAACCATTTTCCATATATATGCAGTGGAAATTACATATTGGTTTAGATTCCATATGATTTTAATTCTTTTTCCTTTTCGTTTGTTGTCTGTATGGTAGAGTGAGTTTGATGTAGACTTCACTGCACCACATGTAAGAGATATGGTGGATACTATCATGGCTCGTCGATTCCGACAGTTCAAGTATCGCTGCCATCAACACTACAGGAATGAGATGGACAAGGTGAAAGCTCGGAAGAATCCAATAGAGGAAGTGAACATTGATGACTGGAAGCTACTATGCGACCATTTTGATAGTGTGCAATTCAAGGTAATCCTAAAACAACCTACTTGAATACATTGAATTTGAAAATTCAATTTCCTAAATAAAAAATGATATCCTCCTAATGCAGAAGCGAAGTGACATAAATGTAGACAATAGAAGCCACCAATTGTATCCAAAGCAGTTAAAATCGGGATTTTATCTAAAATCTAAAACTGGGGTAAAATCGGAATCTTAAAATCGAATCGTAGAATCGTATGATTTTAAGTACCATATAAAATTAACATATAATAATATTAATAAGGTAAATAATTAATAACACAAAGACTTATAACCTTTAAAGTGATAATTTTCAAGATTAATGTTCCAAAATCATCATTTTAATTGTTATTTAATGCGTAAATCAAAATAATTTATAAGAAGGGATAGAGTTAATGGGGTTTGGCTCTTGTTTTTCATGTTGTGTCTAGGTAGTTTAACTCAAAGTAGTATCCCGACATCGTCTACTAAGCATGGTTTAAAACTAAGAATATCATAAATCCAATAAAATAATAAATGTCATTGGTTTGGTACAAATATATTCATTAATCAAATAATTTATTAATAATGATGTTAATTCTTACCCACTTACAATATTCTGATAATTATTTTACCGATGAGTTAAACAAGGAGAAGGGAAAGGGGTTGACCGAACCCTAATTAATTTTTTTATTCTTTTCAAATGTTCTTTTAATAAGAAAAATATATGAGAAGATTCTCGTCATTGCCTTTTTCACCGAAACAGTTCTGCTTCTTGTGAATTGGCTCAAGCTCCCTATTTTGTTCACATATGAACAAAATCCAGATTTTGGTACGATTTTAACGATTTTAATCCCGATTTTGAACGATTTTAAGGTCCACCGATTTTATAGTAAAATCAGGATAGGAATTCCCAAGTAAAATCCTAAAATCCTATGATTTTACGAACAAAATCTCAATTTTAACTGCATTGATTGTATTCTCATACTATAGGTGCTAAGTCACTGAGTCAAAGGATTTTTGAACTGGTAAGCGAAAACATATGTTTGTGGTTGTTTCACTAGATATACCATTTTGTAAATCTTATGAGATTATTTTCTAACATTAGAATGAGAAGGAGAAGACGGTAAATAGTGAGAAAACTAATGATGGAGTCGAGCCGAGTAATGGTGAGCAGCAGAATGACTCAGCAGAGCAGCAGAACCCTGTTGTGCCACCTCCAAAGGTGGTTGTGTATGCTGACACTCATAAGAGGCGTGATGTAAGCTAGGTTCATCCAGATACTGAGAAAAATTATGTATGCCTCTATGTGTGTGAATACTTTCATGTGTGAATGCACGTGTATGGATGTTGATTACTGAGTAAGCTGTTGTTTGTTTCCTTGTAGGCCAATATGACTGCATTGAGCAGTCACTCAGGTAATAATGTTCCAGGTTCTGAGATTGTTGACAAGGTGCTGAAGA